ACAGATATACTTCACCTGAGCGCCTGGTTGAATCTTTTATAGTGTATTATTAAATTATTGTTATAATTATCATCAGTAACTTAATGAAAACAGGTTTTTTTTTGGTTTTTTTAATTTTATTTATTTACAGGGTCAATGCACATTAATAAACAAGTGTAAACGTGCCAGAATTAGCCCAAGAGGCTATTTTTCATCCGTAGACCCTTGACAGAATGTTACACAGTCACCCTAAAAACAGAGACAGAGCATCACACATATACAAAAAAAAAACCAAGATAAAATAAACATATATTATCTAAAACAAAAACAAAAAAACATGAGAGAGAGAAAGAGAAAGATTGCTACACAAGAGAGGGACAAAGCCAAGAGCAATTGGTACAAATAAATCTATTATCAAGAATACAATACTAATGTTGACAGTGCTGATTTGTCAGTAACCATTTTTTTAAGGGTTAGTTCACCCAAAAATGAAAATTAAGTCATTAATTACTCACCCCCATGCTGTACCAACCCCGTAAGACCTTCGTTCGTCTTCGGAACACAAATGAAGATATTTTTGATTCAATTTGAGAGCTGTATAACTACCACATTGGCTCCTAAGGGACTGCCTCTTGACGGCCCAGAAAGTCAATGAAGAAAATGTTTAAATATCCCAAGTGACTACCGTGGCTCAACTATATGTTTACCAAGCGACGAGACTACTTTTTGTGCGAAAAAACAAACAAAAATAACGAGTTTATTCGACTATTCCTTTTCTTCCTTGTAGGCCAGAAACGAGAGTTCCTTAGATTTCCACGACGCATGCGCGAGAATTGCGATCTCCTTACACTACTTCAGTTCAGTTCTCGCGCATGCGTCGTGGAAATCTAAGGAACTCTAGTTTCTGGCCTACAAGGAAGAAAAGGAATAGTCGAATAAACTCGTTATTTTTGTTTGTTACTGTAAATGTGTTTGACAAACACACTGTCACAGCAGACAGAAAAGATCAAATATATTATAAGAGTAAAGAGCCTGGCTAATGGATACACTAATCACTGTTATGGTGACTTCAAATGAAACTGAGTTAAACCTCTGTTAATTCACAATAAAATCTTCTGTAGAAGTCTGACAGAAATAAAGTCAGTCTGGTTAGTAATCAGTGAAGCTGGTAATGCTGTTTGTGGAGTTGTTTAATCCTCCTCTGCGGAGATCTTCAGATTTAATGTCTTCTCTTCAGGTGATTTCATCTGTGTCGTCTCTTTTTCTATTCTCTTCAGAAGAGTAAAGTCCAGGTTCAGAAAGTAAAAGTCCGCCTCAGTATTTTGTTCCAATCACCTGGATTTGCTTATTAGCAGTTTTTCAGTCAGGAGACAGAAATCAGCCCTAATCAACTGTCAATAAGTTCATGGCTGGAATAAACACATGGCAGGACTTCTACTTTTTTTCTACTTCTACTTCTACTTTATACAACACTGGTCTCAATTCACTCACTTCTTTTCATTCAAGTGGACTATATTAGTGAACTAATGTAGGGAATAGTGAATGAGGGTATAGGGTGTGATTAGGAACACAGTCTCTGAGTGTTGACTTTGAGAGCTGTTAATTCACAGTATATTCCTGTAGGCTAGTTTTGTTTTCTACGATATATAACTGTTTTAATGGAAAATGGTATGATAGTGTCAGAATTTGGCCTGTTGCCAGTATTTTACTGTAAAAAACCTGGTAAGGTCTAACAATGTAGGTTTTCAGCACTTTGTGCTTGGACACCTAATTTCTATAACTGTGTGTTGAACTGATCATCACTCTTTTGTGTGTTAAACACAATCTACTTAATACAGACAACTTCATTATAAGGAAAAAACAACAAATAAAGAAAACATTTAGTAAAAAAAAAAATCATTATTTAGTGGGGAACAAATAAGAGACAATAAGTATAGCACTAAATCTGGTAAAATGTTACACATTGCTCTTTGTATTATTGGAAAATACATTCATGAAAAACAAGATAAAATCAAAAAGATCAATTATTTTATAGTCTACTATAAAATTAAGAAAATATATATAGCACAAATGTATAGCACAGCTTTATAATGAGGCAGCAACATATGATAGATAAGACAGAACAGAACAAAAAAGGCTATTAATAATCTTTCATTGTGCAAAAGTATTATATTATTATGAAAGACTCCAATAGAGTGCTACACACAGCGCTTATGCGCATCCCAAGCGCTGAATGATGCGCTTGAAGCAACATGAGTCACAGCGCGCAGCTCTTCGAGTCCGCATTGGAAAGTTCAAAGCACAAAGGAAATATATGAAGAGTTCAGATGCAAAAGCTAAGTGCCATTTGAAATTTTCTTCTAGTGAGATCATTTTTATCAAGCTTGTATATTTAAGTTCAGTAATTTCACTTAAATGGCAATGAAGATTACCAATTAATAATAATAATTAATAATAGCAGAGAGGGACATAAAGTACAAGGTCAATGCGTTTCCACAACGCTTTTTCGTTCAGAGCCAGCGTGACGTGACTGAACGCAGTAGAAGAGGAGGAGCAGAGCCGTGAGAGGTGCTAGTCACTGCCCCGGCAAGTTTAAAAGCTGCATTGCAAATCCTCATTACCAGGAAAAGTAAAAAAAAATAGATTGTAAAAAGGAAACATGAACGGAGATTACAAAAAACACAAGTTAATGTCGGGATAGCTTTTTCTAGGTGATAGAGATAATGCAGTCCTTTCTTCTCGGCGGGTAAATCGATGTTACTTAATTACATTATGTTTCTTAATTACAAGCTTTTTTTCATTGTTTGGTTGTGTACTTTATGATATAGACAGATGAACATTTATAGTTAAAAGTTGATGATGAAATCTAAAGCACGTAGGCTACTTCAGAAAATATAACGAATAAAGAAGGCTTAACTAAATATTACAACAGTTCATGTTTTTCACAGTCAGTAATTCATACTGTAACATTCGTTTACTCGTTGTGTCAAGAAGTTGTTTGTTTGAAATATCAAACCTGTTCACCCGAAAGAAACACTCAACAAAGTGCTAATTCAGTCATAGCTTTTTGGTACATCATGGTTACCGTAGATGCAACGCGCATTTGAAAAAGCGAGGCGCTGGAGAGCACAATTCGTTTGAATGCAAAACACATTTTCACCACTAGATGGCAGCAATTCCTACACAATGTCCCTTTAAGGTACAGCAAGATAGTCAATCAATGCGAAACCATCGAGCTTTATCTACAGATCAAGAATAATAGTATTAACATTTAATCATCCTGGAGAGAGTTTCATCGTTGCCGAACGCAACGCGCTGTTTGAGCGCTGAATGGAGAATGATTGACAGCCGCAGCGGAGGGAAAAGTTTACGTGAACTTGAATTTAATGACTTTAATTTCGGTTGTTTGGTTGTGTACTTTATGATATAGACAGATGAACATTTATAGTAATTGTTATATTATTAATTTCGGCTTCATATATAGTATAGCATAGCCGGCCCGAGCCTTTTGGGGGCCCTAAGCAGAATTTGATTTGGGGGCCCCTCCCACGGCACGGAGTCACCTGTGTTTGACGATTATTGACACAAATGTCACGCAATAATGTTACATTATAAATGAATACACTGAGGTTATGTATTAGGCTACTACAAAATTAATACTTAAATACTTAAAATAATACATAATACTTAAAAAATAGATGCCTACTTAAATAAAAAAAAAGTTTTAACTGTCCTAAGACTGTCTCAAAACATATCAAATTTATATACCTATATTTAATCGTTGAGATTAAAAATCTCTTTTCCAAGAGTGTCCTGGCCAAGACAGGCAGCAGCACAAATAACAAAGTTGCAGACAAAAAAAAAACATATAACATATAGCCTAAACATAAAACATAGAAGCAAGGATCATCCAAATAATTAATCATAACAACTAGCCTACAGCCAGTATGTGTAGCCTTTATATCATTTAAAAGTAATTTAAAAGCAGCCAGTGAAACTGGTTCCTGAAGATTTAAAAGAAATTATTTGCTAAAATTATGACAAAACTGAGAAATTAGAAACATAAGAGCGAGGCTTCAACAATGATACTTAGGCCTATTGTTGAAAACTAAAAATATTACTATTTCTCAACTGTCTCAATAAAGAGCAACTGTCCTCAAAATCTTTATTATTATTATTATTATTATTATCGTAACAGACTTTATTGGATAGTACATGTATAGGATAGTCTGTTACTATAAAACCGGTTATGATGTTCTGGCGCTCATTGTATGTGTGTATGCAATGTATTTTTCCCCTCGGGGCTTGCCGTAGATGGGTCGTGCGCACTTGGTAGGCTACTGGAGTGTCGCGGGTTTTTGGAGGTCTGATGTGTGGTATAATAAAGTGGAGAAGTGTTCAAACTGCTATGTTTATTATTTATTCAAACTGCTACCCTTACACCTTGAAGGTTAAGTTCCCCTGCTGGCTATCTTCTCCAATACCGATACTGTGACTAGGCGCAGTTGCGCACGAATTGTCTGTGCACGCGCGAGGTGTCTAGAAGATTATGCGCATGACTTGACAGAGCAGCAGTTGTAACTTGTAGGCAGGTATATTGATCATTAAATCAGAATTTTGTTGTCTTGAATTATTCATTCAGTCATATTCATTCATTCATTCATTTATGTCACTTATTTAAGTCATCTAAAAAAAAAAAAAAATTAACCTTGATTACCAGGGGGCCCCGAGCGGCCGCTTAGTTCGCTTATGCGTCGGGCCGGCTCTGGTATATAGTATACCCCAACACCAAACATTTTCACGTCGAATCTACACGTTCACATAGGTCACCTTTTGGTTTCAAAACGGCGAGGTAAGTGATTTTCCAGAATGAAGTGTGAGTTCTCATGTGCCTCTTAAGGATTCCTTTCTGGTTGAAACTCTTTTCACACTGATGACAATTGTATGGTTTCACTCCGTAGTGAATACTCAAGTGGTCTTTAAAGTGTACTTTCTGAATGAAACACTTTCCACACTGAGGACACATGTAGGGCTTCTCTCTATTATGAATTTTCACGTGCCTGTTAAGGCTTCCTTTCTGGTTGAAACTTTTTCCACATTGTTTGCAGGTGTAAGGCTTCTCTCCAGTGTGAACTCTCATGTGGTCTTTAAAGTGTCCTTTCTGTTTGAAACTCTTTCCACACTGAAGACAGATTAAATTACTTCTAGTCCCAGGTGTTTGAGCCATTTTTTGAGAAGAAGTCTTTTCAGTCTGTGAGCAACTAAAAGTTTTTTCTCCAGTAGTGAAATTATGATGATTGTTATATTGATCTTTCCCTTCCATTTCATTCAGTACTTCAGTCTCCTCTTTCAGGGCCATCAGGTCTAAGGCATAGAAAGAGAAAAGAAATATGTTAACTCCAGTTTAATGGCACAAAACGACAGATTTCCAAACATTTTTTACATCATCAAAACCAACTGCAAGCGAGAGAGCACAGCAGAACAAAACAAGAGAAAGCAAAACAATGTTTACAAAAAAATGTAACAATTTAATGTTTAAATATCAGAAATAAATATTTAATGTTTAATTATTCCAATTTTTTTACATTAAGTAATGTTTATTATTTCTCAGAAACTGTTTGTTGAATTCTCAAAGGAAAATAGTTGAATACAGTCGTTATTTTTGTTTGTTTTGAGTGCACAAAATATATTCTCGTCACTTGATAAATGTAACTATGGAAGCTTGTTTCCGCCACTGAAAAAAAATAAATAAAAATAATTGTGACAGAATTGCGAGTTATAAAGTCAGAATTGCGAGATATAAAGTCAAAGTTGCGAGATATAAAGTCAGAGTTGCGAGATATTAAATTGCGACTTATAAAGTCAGAATTGCGAGATATAAAGTTAGAATTAAGCGATATAAAGTCAAAATTGCGAGATATAAAGTCAGAATTGCGAGATATAAAGTCAGAATTGCAAGATATAAAGTCAGAATTGCGAGATATAAAGTCAGAATTGTGAGATATAAAGTCAGAATTGCGAGATATAAAGTCAGAATTGTGAGATATAAAGTCAGAATTGTGAGATATAAAGTCAGAATTGCGACGAGAAAAAAAGACAGAAGTGTGACTGTTTATTTCACAATTCGGACTTTTTTTCTCACAATTGCAAGTTTACATCTTGCAACTCTGACTTTATAACACATAATTGCGAGTTTATATGTCGAAATTCTGACATCGTTTCTCAGAATTGTGAGATATAAATTCGCAATTGCGACTTATCAGGCCAACTCTAAGGGGAAAAAAAGACTAAATATATTCTCGCCACTTGATAAACGTAACTATGGAAGCTTGTTTCCGCCACTGAATAAAAAAATAAAATAAATAATTGTGACTCAAAATTGCGAAAGTCAGAATTGCGAAATAAAAAGCAAGAATTGTGAGATATAAAGTCAGAATTGCGTGATATAAAGTCAGAATTGCAAGATATAAAGTCAGAATTGCGTGATATAAAGTCAGAATTTTTTCAATTTTTTTAAAGTCGCAATTCTGAGAAAAAAAGACAGAAGTGCGACTTTTTATCTCACAATTCTGACTTTTTTTCTCACAATTGCGAGTTCATATGTCGAAATTCTGACATCTTTTCTCTGACATCTTTTCCCCCCTCAGAATAGTTTAAATCTCCCAATTCTGACTTTATATCACGCATTTCTGACTTTATAACACGCAATTGCGACTTTATATCTCGCAATTCTGACTTTATATCTCGCAATTCTGACTTTATAACTCGCATTTCTGACTTTATATCTCGCAATTGCAACTTTATATCACGCAATTCTGACTATATATCATGCATTTCTGACTTTATAACACGCAATTCTGACTTTATATCTCGCAATTCTGACTTTATAACTAAATAGCAAATGCTCTATGCTCTGAATTTACACATTTTTGGAAACATTTAAGATAATATACACAATTGAAAGAAATATGTATATGAATAATAACTCGCTGTGCAAGTAGTTTTTTATATATATATATATACATATACACACACACACACACTCTACCGGTCAAAAGTTTTAAATCAGTTTTAGATTTTTTATGTTTTTAAATGAAGTCTCTTCTGCTCACCAAGGCTGCTTTATTTCATGAAAAAAAAATGACAAACAGTAATATTGTGAAATATTATGACAATTTAAAATGACTGTTTTCTATTTTAATATATTTTAAAATGCAATTTGAAAGCTGAATTTTCAACATCATTACTGTTGCTGATTACACATCAGTTTTCAGTGTCACATGATCCTTCATAGGGATGGACCGAATATTCGGCGACCGAAAATTTTTGGTCGAAAATGGCCCAAAAGTGCATTTTTCGGTTTTCGGCCGAAAGACTTTAATCACCGAAACAACACGGCCGAAATGTTGTGATGACGCAAACAGAAACCGCGACCTGCACGTGCTTGTCTGAAGCAACATGTCTGCAGTGTGGACGTATTTCAGTGTATCTGAAAGCCTTGTTTATCCACCTGTCGCTACTCGATCCGTACCGGAAACACGATCTGTTCTGCGCATGTGCGAGAACTTTTTTTTCTGCCACTTCCTGTCATCGTCAATGTTTTTACGACATCTCTGTCACTACTCGATCCGTACTTTACGGTCACGATTTGTACTGTACTGTCCTGCTTGTACGAGAAAAAAAAATCTTTTGCATTTTTTGTGAAAGTTCAAGAACTTCTCTTAAAAGGAGAAATGCCTGACAATCACGCAGAGCGTCCGAAAGTGAAACGGTAGTCTACAAATTGTATAATCAAAGGCAAGTATGAAAACTAATCCAGGATTATGCTTTAGTTCAATTGTGTTGTGTAACAATATATCATTCCACAATATATCATAATACAAATATCCAACAATACGTATTGTGGATAATAAAAATGATAAAATTTACCAAAATAAAAATTACTGTGTGAGGAAAAAAAAAATGTTTTCAGAGTTTTTGTGTAAGTACTATATTAAATTACTATTTTTTGTTGGTTAAAATGTATAATAATGCAATGGGGAATATTTGTGGGTCCTGAATCCTGATAATGCCAAACGTCTTACGTTACCAGAATGTTAAGCATATTTGTCTAAATTAATTAAGTATTTTCAGCTTCAGAATCATGAATATTTTTATTCTGGTGGCACCATTGTCCTTGGGTTACAACAAGCACAAAGTCCAAGCCTATTCATTTAAACCCACAATGTAATATATCAAAGTCAGCATTTTAATCAACAGTGCATTTTGTGTTAACCTTTTATAATATTTCAATGGGAGTATTGCAATAATATCGTATCATGAGTTCATGATGCGTATCAAATCGTGACATGAAGGTATCGTTACAAAACAGTTTACAATTGCATGCTAGATTAAGAAATATTTGATTTCTTTTTTGAAATTCCACAAAATTTCTTGTTTCTAATTGTCACGTATTTGTGTATCATCAGATGGACCAACTGAGGATATTTCTCCAGGACCACTGTTACTCAACATTTGATTATCCATATGCTTGTTCAGGAGCAAAGTGGGAGAAGGACTTGGGCCCTATTCAAGATGAACTGGTAAGCATGATTCTGTCTATTTAGTAAAACTTTGCATATTTAAATCTCCATTACTTATGTAATGGAATCTAATGTGCGTATGTTCAATCTTAGTTTGCAGCATAAAAAAACGAAATTCCCAGATAACGCATAACGTTCCACAAGGCAGCTTTTAATGGGATGTAATATTTTTGTGGAAGAAACTGCAGAAAGACATGTACATCATACTATTATAGACGAATCCGACGAGCGTTCTGTGTAGGCTGCCATCTTGTGGCGACGCCATTACTGAGCTGTTACACCGGCATAGACATATGCACCGGTATGTAAACAAACCTCGGTGATAACGCGAACTCACCCTCGATGACAGCTACAGCCAGGCAGAATGACTTGTTGGTTTGATCTGTGACTGCAGTGGCCTCCAGTCACAGATGAAGGTACAAACGATCTTACAGATTAACGTTATTTATGAAAATAGCTTGGCAAGCTAGCTAGGCTAACGTTTGCTAACGAGGAAACTATAAAAAGATCTGTCCATTTGGCAACAATAAATAAATAAATGAATGAAATCAAATAAACAAATTCATGTTTTTCATTTGTGTCCATTATTTATCTCATTTTCATATTGCAACAGGCAAGGGTAAGGTAACGTTACAGCTAGAAAGTATACATAATATCGACCAATTAGTGTTTTTAAACCATGGAAAGAGGTCAATATAACAGCAGGAAAACAATTATGTCACATAACGTTATATTTAGCTCAGGAAAGCCATTTAATGACCATAGCATGTAAATTGAATAGAAAAAATAGCAAGAGAGGAGATTTTGCTGATCACTATATGACATATTTATTATATTTTTTTTACTCATGCCATTAAATAATTGTTATTATATGCGAATGTCCGCGTCTTGTACTCGCCCAGGAAATCTGTAAACCGTACGGCACCAGACAGGGGCAGTCGACCCGGGGTATTCACAATGTTTTCTCTTCAAAATTTAAATTTTACTGCCACCATTGAAACAATTTATAACGGAAACTGTTTACCCACTCGACATTATACAAGGGATAACGTTGTAACGTTAGTGACAGTCGTAAATCGCGGGCTGTTTATTCCAGTGGACGCAAGTTGCAACTAAAACAATAGGAGGCAATGGCGCAACGCTACCCAGCAACAGCTCAGTAATGGCGCCCCGCTTACTTCCGGTAGTTTCGCCGGATTCGTCTATATCTTCTTTTAAAACGTATTTATTTTTAATGTAGAAGGCCTATGTGTGTTCAGTGACTTATAATGTTCTTTCCATAAGGGAAAAGAGGTTCACATTGTGGACTTCTATGTGGACCCAGTGTATTGTTGTTGTTTTTTTTTTGCCATCATATACTCCTCAACCAGGAAATAACTCTTTTGGGAACACGCACATAAGTATATTATTTTTTAATTATATTTTGTTCCAATACTATTAGGAAAACCTGAGGTCCAAGGATTTCATACTATTTCCAGCTTGGAGCAGACCGCTGGAAGAAGCGGATCACTATCTTCTCCGTGTTGAGTTTTTTAGTCTTTCTAGCTGTGACATTTTAAATTCAAAAGGTAGGGTTAAGTGCGTTCTATTTCATGGATATTAACAAAATACCCATTGTAGGTTATGTTGGTGGCTAAAAGGGAGATACTTTTCCTTGACTCTCTTTGCGCTGATGGTTTTGGAGATGACAGTTACAGAACCATATTTAGGTTGAGACAAAAGATAATTAATTTACTAGCCTTGTTCCAGGTATGTTATAGGTTCAGGTTCATTTAAAAGCCTTGTTATCAACATACATAATATAATTACATATTATTACACTGATAATTTAATTACATATTATGTATTTTGTGTTTTCTTTGGAATCCCAGGCACATTGCAAGCTACATTGAACCAGGATCCTGGACTGAAAAAACAGGAAGAGACCTTGGGGTATGTTTTAAACCAGCGTTTTGAAATTTTGCTCTCGGGGTCCCCCTACAGTTGGGAAACAGTATTGACTTCTACTACTTGCATAAAAACTGTAATGGTTATACCAGGGAATACACGCGTGCAATTGTTGACAAGCGATCCCTGGACTCTGCTGAAGGAAGGAGTTCTCACATCTTGGGCAGCGTTGCGTGTGAAATGTCTTCATCCCAGTTACATTGGCATGTATTTCAGCATGTCATATGAATATAGTTTCATGGGCTTTATTTTTTTTCAAACGTCAAAAGATTGCATTGCTCACGTTTACAAGCCAGCGTCTTTATAGTAACGTTAGCCTATTGGCTACTGCTTTACATAATGGATATGCTAATTTAATTCAATGTTTGTTGGTAGATAATAGCCATATCATCAATATTATAATATCAAGCTACCAAAGATGAATCTGCAAATTTGAAAAAATTGATTTGCATTATAGACACTTTCACAAGAAAAATAAATAACAAACATGACCATCAGCCTGCAGACATAGGATAGTTATCCTGACCGATTATTTTGTCCGTCTAATCATGTATTATTTACTTGCAAGAATATAGCCCCTACCAAACTCAGTAATCAGTAGACTTTCACGTCTCGAGCTGGCGCGAGCTGCCTGCCCCGGCTCTACGGGGATGCTTGAGTGTGTTAAGCGTCCTCAAAAGAAAGCAATGCAGTCTACATTGGATGTGGCGAGGGACCAAGCTACACAACACATTGCTAACAGTAAACTGATCACGTGCTCGCTCTGTTTCTGACGCACTTCACATTTGCTAGGCAGGGGAAGATTGATGCACCGGACCGGAATCGAGGGGCTTAAGGCCTCATTATGCTTCTGCGTCAACTCTACCGCGTAGCTACGTCGTCACTACTACGGCGTCGTGGCCGTTTTACGCTTCTGCGTGAGGTTGTGGTGCATCGCGGTGCATTTCGCCGCCAGAACGCTAGGGGAGTTCGCAAATCTCTTTGGTTCCGTGCGCCGCGAGCGAAAGAGAGAGAATGTTGTTGCAGCTGCCAGCTGGAGAGCTAATCGACGTTGAATAACAAGACGACACAAACTTTATCCCCACAGAATCAACACGGATGTCCAGGGCCCGTTCTACCCATAGACAGTAAAATAAAGGTGCACCCGAGCTGCCATAACGATACCTGTTCGAAATGACTTGAAGGATTTTTTCAGTCTCCACATGGAACTGTGCTATGGCAGGATAATGTGTCCCGTGGCAGACTTGGTTAGTACTGTATTATCAATGATGTAACCATGAACATTGTATTGAAAATAAACAACAAACTGTGTTTCAAAACAAACGTTGATTTATTGATTGATTGAAGTTTATTGCGAGCAAAAAAGAAAGAAAATAATATAGACATATATATTAACAATGAAATAAAATACAGTTTATTTTTAGTTTAATTCTTTATTTACTTTCTTTATAATAGTATTATAATTATCAGAACGAGGGTGCAAATGTTAAAAATAGCGCTATGGCGGGAGGGGGAAATCGGAAAAGCTACACTCCTGAAATTATGTATAATCTGACCAATCAAAGCCCTTGCTGTCTGCGTCGCCTCCACGCGTAGTTACAAATTTTTGGAGGTGCACGTCGAGCTACGGCGGAGGGGTCGGAGAGGGGTTTGCGTCGACGGATAGGGGTCTGCGGAGGTACGCCGTCGATTCAACGCAGAAGCATAAAACAGGCTTTAGTTAAGGTTTTGTGGAGTAGTATTACGAATGAATGTTTTTAAAATAGTATTAGTATAAAAAACTAATTCGCTCATTTTGGTGTACCCTATGGATGAGTGGCGCCACAGCCATTCATCCTATCCCGCGGGCCGGCCCTGATCCGTCGAGACACCCCTCGCTGTGTCCACTACGTATTGGACCATCCAGCTACGTCATTGTGCTACAGGCTGCAGCGAGGACCTCTTGGAACGGTCGGGCACCCCTCCTCCTCCTTTGGCTCACACTAGCGAACCGACGCTGGACCAATATTGATCCTCGTCCAACCTTTTATTTAGCAACACTCCCTTTTCCTCTTTCTACTGTCCTCCGACAAAACCTTTGACTTCTTGGTTTTACTTGCTGCTTCAGCCATGACAACATACAGAGGAAAACAGAAACGCTCATTGGGCTCTGAGGAAGGCTTGGCTTTGAGGAAGTGGGGGAAGTGACGTATGCCGTAAAGCAGTCGAATATTGTAGTTCTTTTTGTGCTCGGGTTCCCACCCGCTGCCCGAAGTTACAGAGTGCCAGTAAAAGCGATACAGACACTGTCAGGCTATGGCAGACCTGTCATTCAACTTATTGTAAGTCGATGTACCATCTCAATGGTTTTGGAAAAATATTATTAAGGTTGAAAAAGTGACATAGTGCTGCTTTAAAGAATGGAACTGTCTAAAGCTAATTTAAGTATGCATGCATAAATGTTTAAACATGCTGGCAGTTGTTTTTAAAATGACTTTGGATGGACTTTCCATTTTACAGGGTTTTCTTCAACAGTGTTCAGAGAATTCCTGTGCTGTTTACATGTTGATGGTAAGATAATTAATTAGTCAGAGCTGTTAGATAAAAAAAAATCAAAGTCTTGGAGTGTTATTTGTATTTTACAGTATGCTCTCAGTAACGGTACTTCCTGTCCATTAATATTCACAGAGGTAAGCTAGATTTTCACACAAATGTCCCATCAAACCCATATGTATCAAATATGTTCTTTTTGTTTTATGTGTCTTTTTAGGAGGAGGTGCCATTGATTCGCCAGTGGTGGTGAACTTGCTGACGCAATGGATGACTTTTTGTTTTTATTCCAGAGTCTAGATGACATGGAAACATTTTATCATCCTGTGCTGATGAACAAGGCCTGAAAGAATCCTGAAAAAACAATTGTAAAAAAACAGTTTTCCTCATTGATAATAACCATACAGGACATGTTTCTTGAGCAGCAAATCAGTATATTATAATGATTTCTGAAGGATCATGTGACACTGAAGACTGGAGTAATGATGCTGTAAATTCAGCTTTGATCACAGGAATAAATTACTCTTCACTATATATTCACATAGAAAACCGCTGTTTTAAATTGTAATAATATTTCACAATATTGCTGGGTTTTGTTTGTATTTTTTATTAAATAATTGCAGCCTTTGTGATGAGCAGAAGAGGCTTCTTTTAAAAACATAAAAAATCTTACCGATCTAAAACTTTTGACCGGTAGTGTATATTTACAGTATATATATATATATATATATATATATATATATATATTTTTTTTTTTTACTTTAATTTAGAAAATAATTTAAAGCAAAACTCTTTGCAGTGTGAGTAAATCTTTGTTTTTCTTTAAGCAGTTTATCACACACACAAATTTGCTCTCTGTTGTGTTGTCATTGTGTGATTGGATTATTTTAAACAATCATATTCCTTTTAACTCTTTCCTTGACAGTTATCGATCAGCGCCAGCATTTTTGATCTTTTTCACAAATCTTTAATGGCCCCCGGAATATAAGTTAAATAAAAATATAATAATATGTCAAACAAAAGTGGTTTTATCGCGATACTCCTTTGACATTCTTCAAAAATATCACTCAGTTCTAAAAAGCTGGACATTTTAATAAGGATCAAATGACTGAGTTCAGCTTTGAGGATGAAACCAACCTGTTTGTTCCTCAGTGTCTTCTTGTTTCACACTGAATGTTTCTTCAATCTTCATGTCTTCACTCTCCTCTTTAATAAATGCCATCTTTATAAGTGTGTCACGTGGATCTCAGCCGCAGTTTTTCTGTGTGTTTGTCCTGTTTAAAATGAGAATAATAAATAGAAAGTAAAATAAATCCAAACTAAATCTCTGAATGTGTCTCTATTAACTCTAGTTCAGTAGTTCAGTAATGGACTTAAATCACATGATTAAATAATAATAATACATAGTTAACATTTATATTTAATATTCAAATATTTGTACATCAAATTGAATAGATTACACTTTAATGAAAACATTTTCAGTTGGTTTGTAAAAGGTGTTATTATTACACATTAATGTTAGTTCTCGCTCATTTTTACACTGTTTGAGCAGCTGATGACGTCGGCGTGCGGCGATTCGAATCACTGAATCATTTAATGAAGCAATTGATTCAACTGACTCGTTTTTCACACAACTTCTTTCCAGCACATGGATTCGTATTTACCAAAAAACTGGTTCACGTAATAGAGAACGAAATGAGACGCACCTTTTCTGTTACTCGTAAGGGGATGCGATTTACTCCCAAAGATAACGCTCATGAGTGTTAAATAAAGCATTGCAACGTTTCCTTCAAAAACTATTCATTTATTGTGCATAGCTTGTAAAAACGATTGAATGTAATGAACGGGTTGCGTTGATTTAAACACTTTAAATGTGTAAAAACACAAACCTCCTTCTTCTTCTTCTTCTTCTTCTTCTCTTTTATTGGCGGTTGGCAAACAACTTTTAGGTGTGCATTACCGCCACCTTCTGATATGGAGTGTGGATCAAAATGGCTTTTCCTCACTGCCCTTTAAATAAATATATAAATACATAAAACCATAATAACACCAATAAATAACTTTAATAAATATTCATTAACATCTTTAATATTCATACATTATCAATAAATATAATTTCCTAAGACAACAAACTTTATATCCTTCTACTAAGACCTGTTTTATTCAAAAAGACAAATATGGCTCTATAACCTACATGACCTGAATTCATTTGTAATAATTCCTTCATATCCAATCTAATTTTTTCTTTTCTCAACCAATTTCTCAGCCTCATCCTTTCCTCATTATACTTTCGACAATAAATAATAACATGCTCTACTGTTTCATTGATATTACAGACCTCACACATCCCAGTTTCATGTTTCCCTATTAACTTCAGTGTACTATTCAATCCAGTATGCCCAAATCTCATTCTTGAAATAATGTCCTCTTCCCTTTTATTCCTATTATTTTCCCTCATACCTCCTACCCTCTTCTGGATACTGTAATACATTCTTGCTTTTGTTTCTTTATTCCACTCCTCTTGCCACTTCTTCTTCATTTCTTCTTTGATTATGCTTTTAACTTCTGCCTTACTATAACTTATTACCATATCTATTTCTGATTTTTTGGTTGCATTTTTGGCATATCTGTCTGCAATTTCATTTCCTTCTACTCCTATATGGGCTGGAATCCAAATGAATTTTATTATTACTCCTACTTTATTAATTCTATAAACCGCTTGGGCTATTTCCAACAAAATATCCTGTCTTGTTTCTGATTTCATGTTCTTAATACTGATTAATGCACTACTTGAATCTGACCCTATTAACACTTCCCTTGGCCTACTATTTTCAACCCACTCAAGGGCTAAGAGAATGGCCAGCATTTCTCCTGTATACACTGACATTTTATCATTTATTCTCTTATTTAACATAACATTAACTTCTGGTATAATAAACGCAGCTCCTACTCTATTACCTTCTGTTTTTGATGCATCTGTATATATCTTCATAAACATAGAATAATTCTCCTCTATGTATTTACTAACCTGACAGCTATTACTTCTATTCTCTTTTTTCCACTCTAAAAGGTGCAGATCTACCTCCATCTCCCCTAATAGCCAAGGTGGAACATTAGATAATGGCACAATTAGACTTACCACCATATCTCCTATCCCTATCTCATCGACTGCATCCCTTAATATCCATCCAAAACTCTTAATCTGTCGTCTTTCCTTTTCTTGACATGGTTGTAACACCTTCTGAGTCGGGTGAATTTCCTTATGCCCTTTTAAATTTGCCCAGTACGTTAATGCTATCTGATTTCTTCTAATCTCCAATGGCATCTCATTCATTTCTACTTGTAAAGCCGCTACTGGGGTTGTTTTAAAAGCACCACAACAGAGTCTTAACGCCTGACTTTGAATTACATCCAACTTTTTTAGTAAAGTGCTTGAAGCAGACTGATAAACTGTACATCCATAATGTATAACTGCCCTAATTAATCCAATATAAACTACTTTCAAAGAGTTCCTACTTGCTCCCCACTCTCTACCTCTCAGACATCTTACTACATTCAATATTCTTTTACATTTCTCAACAACTTTCTCAATATGTATTTTCCAGTTAAGTTTTCTATCAAACCATATCCCGAGATATTTAAAACATTCCACTCTCTCTAGATTTTTGTTATAAAGTTTAAGTTGAAACTGTTCTTGATTTATCTTTCGAGAAAAACAGATTACTTTGGTCTTTGCCACTGAAAACCTAAAGCCCCATTCCATTCCCCAATTCTCTACCTTCCCAATTGCCTCTTGCATTTTCCTTACTATATAATCTATATTCCTTCCCTTTTTCCACATCACACCATCATCTGCAAATAAAGCAACACTTATAGATCTATCAACTTTACTAAACACTTCATTTATCATAATTGAAAACAAAACTGGACTAACTATACTCCCTTGAGGAGTTCCATTTTCCACTAAATACTTTGTACTTAATTCTGTCCCTATTCTTACTGCGATCCACCTATCCGTTAGAAAATTTTTGATCCAACTATACATTCTCCCTCTTATTCCCAATTGATAAATCTTGATCATAAGTCCTTGTTTCCACAACATGTCGTAGGCCTTCTCAACATCAAAAAATACAGATAATACACTTTCTTTATTAACTTGAGCTTTTCTAATTTCATTCTCTAAACATATAGCTGGATCTATTGTGCTTCGTCCTTTTCTAAACCCACTCTGGTAAACCTTTATCAATTCCATTTTCTCCAAATAATACTTTAATCTTTCATTTATCATTTTTTCCATAATTTTCCCTACATGTGAAGTTAAAGCAATAGGTCTATAACTTTCTGCCAAACTTGGGTCCTTACCTGGTTTACATATAGGAACAATAATTGATTCTTTCCATTGTTTTGGCAAACAACCTACTTCCCATACCTTATTATATAACTTTAATAACGTTTCTTTACTCTCGGCACTTAGATTTTTTATCATACAATAACTTATTTGATCATTCCCTTGCGCTGTTTTTCCTGATTTTCTTAACACTTTATTCAACTCATCCTTTGTAAACATCACATTTATGGTACTTCCATTGTCCTCACCATCCGGTATTACTTCAACACTATCTCTTATTGTTCTCTCCCTCTGTATCGTTTCCTCATTACTCAAATTACTATTACTATGTATTTTAACAAATGTCCTTGCCAGCAACTCTGCTTTACCTTTGCTCTCTAATATTACTTTTTCTCCTTCTTTCATTATAGGATACCCATATTCTCTTTTATTTCCTGACATTTTCTTAATCATACCCCACACTTTATCTAACGGTGTACTTCTTCCTAGAGATTCACAATACTTCCCCCAAAAGTTTTTCTTAACTCCCTTTATTGTCTTCCTTACTACAGCCTGCTTCCTCTTATACGCAATTAAATTCTGGAAGTTATGTGTTCTTTTCAGAATTTTAAATGCTTTATTTCTCTCTTTAATTACCTTTGTACATTCTTGTGTCCACCACGGAACGATTCTTTTTCTACTACTGCCTCCTCTTTTTGGTATCGACTCTTTTGCTGCACCTAAAATAATACTACTTATTTCTTCATTAAGATCATCAACTCCACACAAACCTTTCGGCAGCCAATTCACAACAAAGCAGGAGCGCGGCGCCGGCTTATGACGTCACACAACCAAACCAAAATAAAAGTCCTGTTGACGCGCTGCTGCTTTTCTTTTGCAACCAACAAGAAAATATTAAGAACCGTCAATGAAGGAGTATGAGATTCTGTCAAACAGGCAAAACTGTAATTTTTGGGTGCAGAAACTATTTATACCAGAAATTAAAGTATTAATATGTTGTTAACTACAAATGTTGTTAACAAGTAAAAAAAACAACAACAAAAAAACATGTTAAACAGTGTATGACAAAAGAAAAAAGAAAAGAAAATTATGTGTTATTGTGGGATTGGCAATATAACCAAAAATCATACTTCAAGATAAGACCTATTATCAATAACACCAGGTGTGTAAATTCAGTTCTGTTCAGGAGGAGGTGTATTTAAAGTAAGCTGGATTATATGAGAATAATTGATCACATGTTTACAGTATGATCATTTGATTTGGGTTTGTATATTTCACATTTATTAAAAAATTGACATTTATAAATATTACAACAAATAACATTTTATAGATTGATACATTTTATTGAAAGGTAATTTTGCGACAATAAGAACTGAATGACTGATTTCCATCAACACATAGGGGCGGTTTCCCGGACAGGGTTTAAATTAAGCCTGGAGTAGCACTGGCGTAATACTACGTGATGATGTTTCATTCCCCCATTGGCTGCGCGCAGTTTGCAGTGAAACCAGCGGCAGAAACCATGGAAACGAACGAAGCGTTTACGAGAAACACAAGGAAGAAGAAGAACGAACGGAGCGAGAGCAGGGAGCATAGACTGAAAGAGGAGGGAGTTAACTAGTAAAGTAAAAAGTTTAGATGAAACTAAATGCGGCGGTGGTTGGGACAGACTTCTGGCGACGAGAAGAGGAACGAGGCAGCGGACGAGGATATCGGCAGAGAAATGAAGAAAAGAACATTTAATGCCAAATGGCTGACGGGTCGTGAATGCGCAAAAGAAAAAAACTTTAGATAGATAGATAGATAGATAGATAGATAGAGAGAGAGAGAGAGAGAGAGAGATAGATAGATAGATAGATAGATAGATAGATAGATAGATAGATAGATAGATAGATAGATAGATACCAAAATTGAAATGAAATGTTTGCACTTTCTGGTGTGACCCAAATGTTTTTGTTTTTTTTCACGCCAACAATGTTAATAAAATGATCAGTTGCACTCATAATTTATCTAATTTTCACCAGAAAAAATGTGGCAAGTGGAAATTCTGATTGGCTGGTAAGTTTAGAAAGACACATTGGCTGGTAATTAAAAACGTTCATTTAGAACGCCGGTGCCAACCCTATCAACACAGTTTCACTGATGATGGGAAAAAAACAGAATTAACCCCAAACCCAGGATAGAGTGTGTGTGTGAATGTGGTCTGGACTGTGTGTATGAGGCTCATTGTGTCAGAGACGCTGTAGAAGGACAGAGTTCCTGCACTGGGATCCACAAACACTCCTATTCTCCTGCTGATGGACTTTACAGGGAGATCAGTCTGTATCTTATTGTGTCTGAATGAGTAACTGGAGGGAGAGCAGAACAAACTCCAGGACTGATCATTAGATCCAAACAAACACTCATCACCCAATCCCTTCCTGCTGATGCTCTTATATGACACTGATATATACACACCACCAAACATACCACCACTCCACTCAATCTCCCAGTAACAGCGTCCACACACACTCTCTCTACACAACACCTGCCACACATCAAATCTGTCTGGATGATCAGGATAAGGCTGGACTGTGAGAGTGTGAGTAATCACTCTGTTGTTCTCAGTCAGACAGAGGCGTTTATTCACTGTGTTCAGATCCAGAGTGAGCGGAAGAGAATCTGATGGAGAGAAAACACATCAGAATCACAAATTATTAATTATCTTTCTGATATCCTGTGCAGATCATCATCATCCATCAAGACGTCCCTATAATAATTATATTTTTGAGTTTTTAAGTATCCAAGGCCCTATTGTTGGTGAATTTCAGTGCTGTAGCCTTTGGCAATCTTGAGCTTTCTTGACATTTCTGTCTGTTTCCTCAAAAGACTAAAGTCCTGTTACTAAATCCTGTTTAGGATACATTCATAGAAGAGTTTTCAGTTTGTTCTTACTTTCCTGATGCTTTTTTACTACTGTGATTTTATCTCTAAATCTTGGATGCTCTTAATTGTCTTTCAGTGAGAATACTCATGTTTATGCCTTAGTTTTAGAAGATATTGTATTTTTGAAGAATATGTTGAATCCCCAGTTTAATTGTCCTGATTTACATCTATGTAATTGTTTCGAGTCCATTTTAAATCTTGTTTTTTTTGTCAGTATGATAGTTATGCTCTCTGTTTGCCAGTAAAGACATTATGTCAAATAAAAATTTCTCCTGTTAAACCTAATAAAAGTCTTTTTAAAGTGCCCCCTGTATGTTTTGTTCATCTGGTTTGATTAGTTTAGGGAGGGCGTTTTTATGCTGAAGACTTCTTTTCTAGATTTTCTTTTGATAATTAAAGGGATAGTTCACTTTGAAACTAATTTTTGGTATGTTTTATCTTACCTCAAGGGCTTCCAAGATGTAGGTGTCTTTGTTTCTTTGTTTATTTTCAATTTTGATATTTTTAGGTCAAACCGTTGTTGTCTGTCATTCATATAATGGAGGTCTATGGTCACCACGTCAAAGAGCATGCACAGAGAAGTCCAAATTAAACATGATTTAATGACTCGTAAATGTAAGTACACATTGATGGCCTAAGACACGAAACGAGCGGTTTGTGTGAGAAAACGAACAGTATTTATATCGTTTTAACCTCGTGTATCCATAGCCATGTCCAACTGATCTGACGGATCACGGAAGTGATCTCTTGCGTGTGTACGTCACTCATAGTTTACACAGAGATTTCGGAAGTGTTACCTTTCACTAAACATATTTCGATATATAGATATCGTCTTCCATTGTGATTTCCTGTATATCTAAATATGTTTAGATCTTCACAGTGAAAGGTAAAACTTACGAAATCTCTGTGTAAACAATGAGTGACGCACACGCGCGGGAGATCACTTCCGGCGGAACGTTGGACATGGTTCAGTTCGGTTCAGTTGGACATTGGATAACTGATTCAGATCATTTGGACATGGCTTACACGAGGTAAAAACGATATAAATACTGTTGGTTTTCTCACACAAAGCGCTCGTTTCGTGTCTTAGGCCATCAATGTGTACTTACATTTACGAGTCATTAAATCATGTTTAATTTGGACTTCTCTTTGCATGCTCTTTGAGGTGGTGACCATTATATGACTGACAGACAAGAACGGTTTGACCTAAAAATATCAAAATTGAAAATACTGTGGAAAACAAAGACACCTACATCTTGGATGCCCTTGAGGTAAGATAAAACATATCAAAAATTAACTTCAAAGTAAACTATCCCTTTAATGTAGTTGGTAAAACTTAGTTGTTGTTTTTTTTTTTTTGTTTATTTATTTATTTCCTTCCCTTGTTATTGTAACATTATTTTTTCCTTTGAAAATATTGTAAATATTGATTTATTTTTTATCTTTGGCACGGTACACTTCGGAAAAGGAACATTTTTTAATTGGAGTTTTGCCAATTTTTGTTTAATCTTATTGCCCTGTCCTCAATTTTGAGACAAACAGAAGCTTCATCCAACCTTGCCGACCCTAAACTTTTGATTGGTGGTGTGTATTCTCTATTTTTATTAATAATATATTGTGGCGAGCAAGACGAGGTTGAGGGCCGTGAGAGTGGTATGATTACGGAGGAGTGTGACGCTCCGGTCTCATATCTCTCAAGGAGAAGCTTCAGAAGTATAAAAGAA